CTAATAAATTCGTTGTATCACCACTGTTACTTTATTACAATATTATGTATAAATGACTGTGTACAGGAAGAGATATTTCAATCTAGTTGTTTTGCTGTACAAAGATTGTGGGACACAACAGATTTTATTATGAATTTCTTCATCATTTCTGTTTAAGTTATCGTCAAATAAATTGTTTTCGAAAATATCGTGATGAAAAAAAGTTTTATTGATTGAAGCTGTTCGTTTCTTTTCCTATGCTGCATAACAAGCATGTGTTTGTAAAGTACTGTTAGTTATTGAGAATATGGATTGTTCTGATCAAATGCCATCTTTCTGTTTGTCATGTGTTCGATAAAATCACCGATGATATATGTATTAAAAACATAATGAAAATACCACATTATATGCTTGCAATAAAGCAACCATCTATACTTATTGTAAGAAGAAGAAAGATGAACCAAAGATTATTATAAAAAAAAAATATGATGTCGATTTGTTCTTTGTCTTTTGTTCCTTCATATTTTTATTCAGTTCTTTATTTTTTATCATAAGAAGTCACGAATTTATCTGCTTATTTTTAAAAGTTGGTAATTTGCATATATATTTGTTAAGTCAAATACAAAAAGACAAAAAGAATTGCTCTGATCATAGATGATACAAGAGAATCATGAGCAACATAATTGATAATTGATTCTTGATCTTATTCGAATCGATATCAGTCAATGATCTATAATAGATATGAAGTTGTCAGTATCAAAAATATTTTCTTTGTGATACTTCATCTAATGATAACTAACAATCAATAACGGAAATAATAATATCAGTTTACTCATCGTTATAATCAGAAAGTCTTGATGAGAAAAGAAAAAAACCGTTAGTAAGTTATTACAGAAATTTATTCTTTAATCTCGGTATTTAATTATTTAAATAGATATTTTTTTTTATCATTGTCATTATCAAGATCTTTATTCTTTTTTGTTTTGTTATCATCTCTATTAATATGTAATGATGAAGAAGAATATGTTTACAGCCAACTTTCTTAATAAACTTCGCATAGAGAAGACTATTCATAAAAGTTTTTTGCCGTGTTTCTTTCTTTACTTGTTTCTGTCACCAAGATGTACGCAACATCAAATGGACCATTTTTGGGAACCACTCCTTCGTACGAGATGCCACCCCCCAAAATAATATTACTTACAAACTTGTTTTTTTTCTCGATTACGAATTGTTGGTGATATTTCTTCAGCATTTTTTGCCTAAACATCGTCATTATGTGAATTTGAAAGTGATTCTAAAGTGACTTCGCTAGAAAAATCAGTATTGACAACATTGTTCCATCTCCAGTTTGTTAACATTTTTGAAGCATCAAAATTTTTTCATAAAGTCTTAGCACATTTAACACATTGAATTTTATTATCTTGTATTAATTTTTGTGTTTTTTTAAAGCATTTCAATCCGACTGATTTTGCTGATAAATTTCTAACACTGACTTTGGTTTTCATTTCTATTTCTTTTAACAATATATTTTTGCAATCTGTAGCTCTAGTAGCTCGTGATCTACTGAGAATCTTTCTCTATCATAAATTGACCCTCTTCTTAATAAATAATTAATTTTGTTCACTAAAATATGTCGATTTTAATTGGTAGATTTTCTGATTCTTTGAGGAAATCAGCAATATTAGATGTAGTTCAATTGGAATTTTGACGGTTTAATAATAAGAAAACTGCATTAAAAGCTTTTTTGGTAATTTATTTGCATGTCATTACATACTAGTTTTGAAACGATCAGCCAGATTGTTAATGAATGCTGTATACGATAAAGAACATGGACATCGTCGGTAAAACGAATATTTTTTGTGTTGTCTATTGCATGCCCTTCTTCGTTACACACATTATGTATTCATATATTTCATCTATTTCAAATCTCTTGTTGAGTATACAGTGTGGGTTGACATGTGACTAGTCGTATATTATGAGCATGAAATAAATGACTAAGAAAACTAAGTATTCATATATGCTATTTTATTTCTTTTATATAATATATTCAGCACTTTATCAAAAATTATTTAGAAAAAAAAATCATGTTGATCGATTTCGAAAAATTTATCATTAGATTCTTATGTTGATATTTTCATTAATACAAGAGAAAATGTTATCCAATAATATCCCATTTGATAGACTATTAAGAATACTCAAAACTGATATAAATATATATCAGTTAGACATTGTTCTCGATGTGTATAGAAACTATTTAACTTTGTCGTTTATCAAAACTTATGAAACACTATGTAAAGTGACTTTTGAGTCATCCTGTACTAGAAAATTAGCCCATTTTCCTGTTGAAAAATTATAAAACAAAAAACATTATGTATGCCAAAGTAAGTTAATTGATATTGTTTATTATAAGGTAGAAATAAATAAGAGAAAGACTTCATAAAAAAAAAACAATTGTTCGGCTTTTTTAGTATTAGTCATCATTTGCTTCATCGTCTGTTAGTTGAAACTGTTTATTGTTCACTTTTTCTACCACTTGCATATAACGTTCAGGTCCATGTTCACGTTCACGCTTTATATTGACCCAATACTTTTTAAACCTAAACAGGCGTTTAGATCTTGGCAGGCTATTTTCAATACGAAATGCAATACGTGCTCGTTCTAAGTGCCTTTTTTGTTAAGAAAAAAAGTAAAGTAATAAAAAGAATAGAAACAATTAAAGTAAATAATACAAACCATAATTTTTTGGCACTTCTTTTTACCTCTGCATATGTATCACCCATCATAGCAATAAGTAAGTTTAACAAAAGAATAGTAATAAGTACAATATAGAAAATAAGTAATATAACACTTGTCAATGGATATTCTCCTTTAATATAATAATCAAGGTCAAAATCACCCAATAAACCCAGAAAACATTGTTTGATACTTGACATATAACCTTGCAAACCTAAAAAATATCAAAGTCAATATATTCAGAATAACAGTTTCATTATAGATTCAGTTTTCTAAAAGTATTTTACCATATTCATTGAATAAAATAAAAAATGATTGTGCAAAGCCCATAAGAAAAATTAAATATATTATAAAAAACCGAAGAACATCATGGAAAAACATTTTATAAATCATAATAACAAATGGACCAGTAAAATGAAATGGCATAATGAAATAAAACATATTGCTCCATCCAATAAGAGAAGCGAAAGCAAGTATTTGAGTTTCATATTGTTGTATTCCAAATAGACGAAGAATTTCCAAAGTAAAAATACAAAAACAAAATGAACATGTCAACCAATTTTCAAGAAAAATAGATCCCTAAAGCATGTATACAAATCAATTCAATCGAAAACAATTAATTTCTTACTTTAATTTTCCAATAATTCCAGAAACCCAACCTACGAATGTCATGCACTTCATATGCACATTGGCATGTAGCACCTATTATTACAATGGTATGACCAATTGTATAGAGTAAGTGTTCAAAACCACTTGAATTTTTGCCATTTGTTATTCCTGTTTTCTTATCGAGTTCATTCACTGTCTAAATATATATATATATATATATATTTCATAGTTGAACAAAATGTTTTGTTAAATTACTTTTTCTGATCTTGGTTGTCGTAACATTGTTGTGGCAAGAAAAACAAGAAGATAAATAAATGTAATGAAAAATCGTCGAACAAATAATGGATAAGCAAAAGATTTCCATTTTTTGTCAATTAAAGATACAATAGTAGGATTTATTAAATCTGCATTATTTTTTTTAATCATTATTTCAAGTACACTAAGAGGTCGTTGTTTTCTCTTAAATAGAAATACACTAGAAAAAAATTATATTTCTATGAATTTAACTCACGTCTTGATGAATATCAATATCAAGTTGATTGAGAGGATGCAATGCACATGTTATAGTAGCATAAGACCATTGTGTTCTTTTACGTTCGTCTAGTAACCATGATAGCATTTTAGCTTGACCTAAATCAGCTGATAGAGTCAATGGTGTTAAGCGATCTTTATTTAAATGATTCCATAATTTTGATGGTTGTGTTGATTTCGAGTCAGTTATTTTTTTGCTATTACGCATATTCTGCTGCTTTATCCAACGATCTTTGAATTTAGCATACATTTCGGGTAAATTGCAAATAACAAGCATATGCAGTATAGTATTACCATTACTGTCCGTCTAGATATAAATATAAAGAATTCAAATGACAGTTTAATCATTTACCCAAGTCGAGCAGAGTAAACTGGTTCATGTACAAGAATATCAGAAATTCATAAAACATGCAAGCAACTTTTCAGAGAAGTTCATATGTTTCAGGAGTCCGAAATCATTCATCGAGGTAGGAATGTCTCATTTAAGATCTAACTAGAAATCAGCAATGTTCAATATCTAGACTAGACAAGTGCGGAACTGCGATCTTAGGTTAGAAATCCGCCGGAACTGAGGCCAGCATGAGAAAAAATATATGCTAATAAGAACTAAAGATTATAGTTAAACAATTTATGACTTTAAACGAGTAGATTTTTAATAAATTCTGGAATAGTTTTGCCTAAATCGAAACTAAAAACAAAGTTGGTGTGGACTATCTCTAGCTCAAAGAATTATACTTCTTCACTTTGTATATGTAACATTGAAAATTTTCTTCTTTACTAACCACATCCATATCAGCACCATATTTAAGTAAGATTTCAACAATATCCCATTGATCGGTACAACAAGCAAATCCTAATGGAACTTCACCATAATAAGATACTTCACCTCTATTAAATACACATATAAAGTGAAAAGATAAACGAGAAATAACTTACATTTTAAAGAAGCTACCAGTAGCTCTTGCTGTCAATAATTGTTGACGATAGGGCTCCAAACGATCATTACTAAGTAACCATTCAACCATTGTCGGATTACGATTAGCAATTGCAATATGAAGAATATTTTCACCATAATATTTCTTAAAAATTTATAAATATATATATATATCATTCAAATAGAAAAATCAATCTAATTATATTTACTGATTTATTATAAGTTTGCGTTACGATCGTTGGAAAGCGTAGAATAAGATCTCGAGCAATTTCCAAATGTGTATCTGTTCCACCTAAAAATAGCAGATGAATAGGACAATCCCCAACAGCTCCTCTTTCATTAATAAGATCAGGATTAGCATCTATGAGACGATCAATTGCAATTTTGTCTGCATCATATACGGCTCTCCATATCGTATTATCTTCATGCGTAAGTTCAGTTTGTTGTTCGACTTCAGAGTCATCTGAATTAGCGTCACCATATTGTAGTGGTGGTAAAATAACATTGTTCACTATATTAGTCATCAAACATCTAACGGTATTTGCCATTGCTGTTGTAAAACTTGGAACACAAGTGTCGATAACAGGTTTTTTTTCTGTGTCTTATGTTTAATTAAACACGATGCTAAATGTAGTTTAACACATGCTACTTAACAGATTTTATTCGTGGGATAAATACAGAGACATACACATCAATATATATCAGTCTATGTGTCATTCAATAATGTTAAAAGTGTCTTGCTTTTTCCATTCGGCTTTTTTTTCTAGCCATTTTACCTTGCTATGGTTTGACTAGTCATTCAAGCATGATATTAAAAAAGCATGTGTATTTTTTGTTTATATTCATATGGACTACCTTGCTTGCTATAAGTTCAAAGTTTTTCTTTCAATTACTATCAACATGTAAGAATGTATAACAATTACATTAAACACTATTCATTTCTTTCATAGTTTTCAATTCGTGTTAATACATCAAATTGTTATTTTTTGTTTTTACTGAAATGCTTTGTTTCTTTGTAAATTTTTTAATATTATTTTTTCTTTATATTTGAAAACATAAAAAAATGCATAATTGCATTATACACTACGGGAGATATGTGAATTGATAATACCTCCACGTGTTGTTGAAGGTTAATAAAGGTAAAATAAAAAAAAAGTATTCGTTTTTGAGGGTAATTATGATTATTTATCAAGGTGTTTGATGAGAGAACATCAATCTCATTTTGCATTCGTGTAGCTTTCTGAACCTGAAATTTGTTCTGGTGTTTTGAGAGTATGTAGATAAAAGAAAATGATATTTGAAAAAAAGAAAATCTTTGTTGGTTTTTTTATTATTATTCGATTGAATCTTCAGCATTTTGTAATTTAATTTATTATACAGATGAAAATGACATTCTTGATCAAAACAAATTTACGAATTTTTTTTTGTTACGGAAAACTATAATAAAATTATTAACGATCTTTTTTTCTGGAACTGTTTGCCAGTAATTATAAGAATATTTATGACTTGGTCTTGGAGA